TGCAACAACAATATCGGGTTTACTGTCGCTATTCACATCGACGACTGTTGCTGATCGTGGAGTCGTACCAACTGGGTAAATAGTTTCAGCATTAAAGATACCACTGCCTGCGTTGAGAAGAATACCGAGGGTGTTATCGCCATCGTTTGCAATAACAATATCGGGTTTATTGTCGCTATTCACATCGACAACTGCTACTGAGAATGGTTCGTTACCAAATGCGTAAGTAGTTTGATTAAGAAACGTACTGCAGCCTATTAAATACAAAAAGTTTGCTCTCAGATCTATACTAGCATATAAACACTATTAATCGTCGTATTTTATTCAATTTTTGAGAGTTTAACTTAACTGAACATAATTTATTTGGAAAGATTATGTCAGTGAATTTTGGGCAATTTCAGATATACTAGAGCATAACTAAAGTCAGTTTTCAGCCATTCTGTCCATCTCTATATGAAAGCTTCTCGCAAATTTGAAAAACCAACGAAGTCATCTCACTCTACTTAAAACGTGCGCTTCCTTTAATAGAGTTTCACGATATTCTCCACGAAGAGGATGCAGAATACTTTCCAAGCAGAATTCAGAATGCCGTACATTTATCCAGGATTTCATTTCAACATATATATCATTCTTTTTTTTAAAGTTGCATCGCAACATGGAATTCTATAAATAATAGTCTAATTCTGTTTCTCCTTAACCAACTATATGTCTACAAAAATCTGAATTATACTTTTCAAGCATTCTATAATTGTCGGTGCACCCTCACCCTATTATTGTTCTCGTTGGAAATAATTCAACGAAAATAAGTTGTCTGTTTGCGTTGTTGTAGATCTGTTTTTCACGAATTAGCACAGATAAGCACGGAGTTGTATCGGAGTCTACTAGATACTGGACGAATAAGTCAAACTAAGTATTACAAGTTTTATTTATTGTAAGCTGTGTTCTCCAATACTTTCTCTACAAATGGATATACTTTTCAGATTCAATTACTGTTCTGTCGTGATTTTATACATGTAAAACAAGTCTCCGCTAGTGTTGACTCTGCCTTTTTTTGAGTTCATAGTTTCCAAGAAACAACAACTGAATCTGAGAGCTACGTCAATTAGTAGAGTAAATATCGAAGAACACAAATCAGAATCAATAAAACTTCTAGTACTCAGTCTGGTTTATTAGCACAGCATGCAATAGACTCCGTGTAGCCCCCTACTGATTGATCGAAAATCATTCCGAGAGAAAAAATGAAGGACGCAGGTAGACAACACTAAATACGGGCCGGCGAGGAGTAACCAAAGAAAAGGTACCAACGACGAGGCTTAATTCTTGCTGATAAAATTCTTGTTATGCTACTATACTCTAGTGCTATTATACTATTGACACTCTTTTCTAAAAAAAAGTAATTCTCAGTGATAGGTCTGAATCAGTGTTAGTTTTTTTAATGTCGGCTTTTGCAGCGAAGGTCTCTACCATCAGCGTGATGATTACAAATTTATTTCGTCAAGAAATAACGCTTCCACAGGAGACAGCTGAGCGAATCTCCAGGCAAGCGTTATTTGTTTATCGACATGATAAATCTTTAAAAGATAAACTCTCAAACTTTTGAATTAGGTTAGTGGAACAAATCATCGGTTTGAAAACTGCTGAAAAGTGCAACACATAATCTAGCATATTACTGACCGGCTGTTGTTGTTACTGATGTTGTTGATGTTGTTGTTGACGATGTGGATGCTGTTGATGATGAAGTAGTAGTTGTTGTTGTTGATGTTGACGATGTGGATGATGTTGTTGTCGTTGATGTTGATGATGAGGTTGTTGTTGATGTTGATGACGATGTTGTTGTTGATGATGATGTTGTTGTTGAGGTTGACGATGTTGATGATGAAGTGGATGATGATGTTGTTGTTGATGTGGTAGTCGGTTCTGTTTCAGACAAATGAGATTCGAGGTGTTAGTGTGGGTGTGGGCGTGGTTGCTACTCTTCTACAATCTCCGTACCCACACCCTAAATATGAGTGTGGAAATTGAAAAAGATCTGCGCCTACACCCACAACCACGCCTTCGATTTCCTAGGAGTATTCTATGGATCCGATATACTCCTCATGAATTAACACTAAGAGATCCTCACTATCACATCTCAGATATCGTTAAACCGACACCTATGCTATGTCACATTCTGTAATGTCGCATAAGACAAGATAAGATAACGTTTTTGTCCATATATGTTCGTTCTCTTTCTTCTCTACAGATTTATATGTGTTGTGTTCTTTTTGACACATATCTTCTTCCTAGCGTTTGTCTTTGTTTCTTGCTATCATATATCTGTTAGATATTTTTTATTCTATCTAATTCCTAGCATGCTATATAAGGACATGCAATAGCAGGCGTGAGTATGTGTCTTCAAGTTACACGAAAAAATCAAATAAACCATATATACATCAACGAATATTGGACGTAACATCCTAGTGTACTCCCTAAGTTATTTTTACACAATTCATATTATCCAGTCTAGAGAGTCAATAAGGGGCCCCCACTGGATGCCACGAACGAATTACAAAGTAGGACAGCGCGAATTTTGCAGTACAGACTTTCGCAAGAGACTTTTAGCAATTGCCAAAAGTTATGTTTTCGCTGGATTTTCGGCAAAATCAAAACTGAACTTTAGACAATAGGCCAATAGTCCAGTTTCGTTACGGCGAAAATCCAAAAAAAACAGTACTTTTGGCAATTGCCAAAAGTCTTAATGAGTGCAAAAAACTATTAATTAATAATATTTCTTAAACCGTATTTTCGGCAATTTTAAGAGATGACGCGGCCTGTATCGCAAGTGGCCTGCATCACAAGCCGCCTGCATTACAAGCCACCTTTCTATACAAGGTGCTCAGCCGGATGCGGATATAAGGGTATCTCCTTCATGGATACCTGGACTGAATCAAGCTATGAGGAAGTAACGTATTAATCTTTCTGATGATAGTATCGTTTGTGCTATTCTAAAAGTAACTGTATGAGTATGCTGCTCGTAATACGTAATATACAGTTAGTAGGAGGGTTTATGAACCGTTTTATTCGATACGTCTACCAGTTCTTTTGCGACCGATGTAAATAAGAAAAAAGGTTTTTTCTTTTCAATATATCTTTTCTAAATAATCGTAGTTATGCTTACCGGGTGGAATTCGTGTTCCATCCATAACAATCATAGTAATAATGTCCGTGTTGCTCACCAGATTGATATTTTGGTTTGATATATCAGCAAATAATTCACAATTAGACGATGATTTATGAAAACTAATTGCTTTACAATGGACTTCAGCTAAACAAGCCATTTGACACTGGCGGATATTCGACACAATAACAACGGCCAATGGTGAGCAATTTGAGTTGGAACATTGAAATTCCCAACCAGCTTTGGTAGACATGCGAAGTGATCGCATATCTTGTGTGCCGGATTGTGTAATAAGAAGAAATAGAAGAAACAGAGAATTTCTTCTGCTCGCCATAACTAACAAGACTGTTAGTTAAGAAATGAATTTAACTTTAAATCAAACACATTGTGAAGATATAGCATTAAATACCTTTTCAGTTTTTCTCTCTTTCTTTTTTTTCTCTTTTTTTCCTACGCATTATAAACATTGTTTTTAATTCATCAGTGCGATGGAAAACTAGTCGTGACTTCCTTGTCTTGTCAGGAAGGTGTAGCAGAGCTTGACTTTCAAAAAAAAGTACTTTTAGACAGAAGATTGTTTTCCGTAGTTACTGTGCAGGCGGAGGACAAATATATATATATATATATATATATATATGTAACGATCGTATTTCATATAGAAAAGATCAGTTTATTTGTTTATAATATGAGATTACTTTATATTAAATTTAATTCCATATGACAACAAAAGAGACGCTTTACGAAATAAATCAATTAAGTGAAACTATTTTTCAGAAGTCTAAAGTAACTTCAATAATTCTTCATCTTTACAAATAATCAGACATTTTTTTTTTAATTAAATATGTCTCGCTCAACAGAATGATGTCTGTTCTCTCTTTTCTTCCAGTTGTACGTTGCTATAATATAAAATATGTACACAGCATAAAAACTATCTGAAGATTGTTTCATTTTTTTCGAAAGAAAGATTAGAAAAAAGTACATTTTGTGCAATGACTTTTTCCTATTATAATCATAATAATGGAAATTATATCGTCTAAGAAAACTGACTGTTCCAAAAAGAAGGATGGTAACAAGTTTCCGCCGATGTCGGCAGAAAAATACCGTTATTATGCCGTTAGGAAAACTAACAATAACGTTTATGATGTCTTTACTCTCTGTATACATTTTATTTAGCAAAACTAATGGATATACTCTTTAGAGTTTTGAATATATTGTATATTATTGTGATATGTTCTGTTTTGTTCATAAATCTCTAAATTGGTAAGTTCTAAATTAGTAATATAATTCTTGAACCATTTCTTCATATTACAACTACGACTCTTTCTTTTCACATATTATAGATACTTTTTAATTTAATCAATACGATGGGAAACTAGCCATGACTTCCTTGTCTTGTCAGAAATGTTTAGAAGAGCTTCACTTTGATAAAAGTGCATTTAGAAATATCATTTTTTTAATTTCATCAGTATGATGGAAAGAAAAAGTTTGCACTTTTTTCTGCCAGGATTCTATAATAGAGGTTAACTTTGAACAAGTCATGCATCTAGAGTGATGATTTTTTTTTCATAATTTATATGCAGGCGGAAAACAAAGATACGTATATCTTTAAATCTTTTTTATGAAGAAAGAATGATTACTTCATTTGTTTATAATATATGATTACTTTATATTCTCTTTCTCGTAGAGAAGAGTTCAGTAAACATAAATTGTCTGATTGATTGCTTGCTTGTATGTCCGCAGGGTCAAAAAAAAACATTGAAAACCAGTTTTCAGGAAAAGACATTTCTAGAGGTATTTCGCTACGGGGAGTTCGAATCTGAGATCTGTTGGGTGACCACGGTTAGGGGTGGGTGGGTGTGAGTGAAAGGTCAAAAAAACATTGAAAATCAATTTTCTAGAAAAGATATTTCTAGAGGTATCTCGATGCGGACAGCTCGAATCTGAGGACTATTGAGTGACCGTGTGGTAATAAAAGTTCATAGGTCAAAAAAAACATCGAAAACCGATTTTTCACGATTTTCATATGTTTTTTGAGTAAATGTGAAGAAAATAGATTTCTACGAGAAAGAGCTAAGCGAATCTTCGGATGAGCGTTACTTGTTAAGTTTAATTCCATATGACAACAAAAGAGAAGTTTTATGAAATAAATCAATTAAGTGAAACTATGTTTCAGCAGGCTAAAGTAACTTCAATAATTGTTAATCTTTACAAATAATCAGTCTTTTGTCTTCGAATTAAATATGTCCCGTCCAATAGAATAGTATCCGTTCTCTCTTTTTTTCCAGTTTTACGTTGCTATAATATAAAATGTACATACAACACAGAAGCTATCTGAAGATAATTTGAGTTTGTTTACAAAGAAACGTTAGAAAAAAGCACATTTTGTGCAACGTTGTTCGTCTATTATAATCATAACGATATAAATTACATCGTCAAAGAAAACTGTGTATTACAACAAAAAATGATGATAACAAATATCTGCTGATGCTGGAAGAAAAACATTGTTACTATGCCGTTAGGGAAATTACGAATAACGTTCATAACGTCTCTGCTTTCTTGATACACTTTATTTAGCAAAATTAATGCAAATACTCTTTAGACTTTTCAACATACTGTATATCATTGTGACATATTCTGTTTTGTTCATGAGTATCTGAATCCCTAAGATCTAAACTAGTGCGATAATTCTAGAATAGTTTCTCCATATTACAACTATCCCTCTTTTTTTCACTCATCATAGATATTTTTAATTTCATCAGCGCGATGGAAAACTAGTCATGGCTAATTTTTTTTGTCAGGATTGTGTATCCGAGCTTCACTTTGAAAAAAGTGCATTTAGAAATATCATTTTTTTAATTTCATCAGTATGATGGAAAGAAAAAGTTTGCACTTTTTTCTGCCAGGATTCTACAGTAGAGGTTAACTTCGAACAAGTCATGCATCTAGTATGATGATTTTCTTTTGCGTAGTTTATATGCAGACTGAAAACAAAACTACGTATATCTTACAATCTTCTTTTATACAGAAACAATGATTACTTCATTTGTTTATAATATGAGATCACTTTATATGAAATTTAATTCCATATGACAACAAAAGAGACGCTTTATGAAATAAATCAATTAAGAGAAACTAATTTGCAGCATTAAAAAGTAACTTCAATAATTCTTCATCTTCACAAACAATTAGGCATTTTTCTTCGAATAAAATATGTCCCGCCCAATAGAGTAATGTCTATCCTTTTTTTTGTTTTATTTTTATGCTGTAACAATGTAAAATGTGTACATAACACAAAAACCATCGAAAGATAATTTCATTTTTTTCCAAAGAATCGTTAGATGAAAATACACTGCGCAGTAATGTTCGTCTATTATAATCATAATAATGGAAATTACATCGTCAAAGAAAACTGTGTATTACAAAAAAAATGATGATAATAAATATCTGCTGATGTTGGAAGCAAAACATCGTTACTATATCGTTAGGGAAAATAACAATAACGTTTATGACGTCTTTAATTTTTTTATACATTTTATTTAGCAAAATTAACACATACTTTTTACATCTTCGAATATATTGTATATTATTGTGATATGTTCAGTTTTATTCATAAGTCTCTGAATCCATAAGATCTAAACATGTAAGAAAAATCTTGAATCCATCGTCCATATTACAACTACGATAAATAACAAACAGAGAACACATAAAATCTACATTTGGAATCTAGAGAATAAAGGGCATCCAGAATACCTCCAAAAATTTAACCACGTAGGAAATTCATACAATTTACGAAGACGAAGAATTCTGAAAACTCTAGTAACGCAAAATACCAATGTCTTCTTCAATTTTTCAAGTCAAGAAGATTAATTCTGAATTAATAAATATGCATAAAGTTATTAATCAATAAAGAATAAAATAATTTTTTTGAATTTTGTTTTGTACTAAATAGAAGTCAAAAAAAGAAAAAACATATATACTATAAATAATAAATATTGTAACGGGAGGCCTTTCGAATTTTATTCTTCGTTACCAAGCTAGTTTGAAAATGTGATGTTGCTTTATAGTAAGTATTATCAAGATATTACATTACAATTACAGACAAAAAACTTGTAGAAATACAGGAAAAAAATTGAGCGAACCGTTCAACAACCAGGAAAAGGGAAAGAAAAAAAGTTTCTTTTTGAAGAAGTATAATTCACAACGAATAAGTGGCAATATGAAGCGATAAACTCACGTGACTAGGTTTTCTCATGAATCAGGACAAATCTTCTAAACTCACTTGACAGATGCTTTTCATAGAATAATTGGGATACTTAGTAAATTGAAATAAAAAATATTCTGTCGAGTATAATTCAAAACCGTTCATCAGAATAAATTACATTAAGAACTACTCATAACTAAAGTTTTCATCTGGGAGATTGCAGTCCCTATATGAATCATCATTTTATTCATAATCGATTTCTATCGATATTGTTTTAAACATTTGTTACTATTCTTGATTCATTGTTTGACGGTTTTTGTTTAACATCAAAATTTATTTTCAATTGGATACAATAGATCATTGGTTTGAGACAACACTTCTATGTATAAGAATCATAATCAAACATAATAAATTCTTAGATATTCTTTTAAAAGTATGGACACACTCTTATGAACAATATTAAAAAGAGATATTTCATATTATTAGGCAATAAACAACGCGCAACTACGGAGTAACGTTTAACGCAGTAGAAAGCTTTCCCAAAAATTGTGTAAAAACGCGTTAAGAATTCATAAAAGCGGCGTTTTTATAATAGTCTACCGTTAAAACGCCGTATATACGCTGTTTAGATGCGCTTTTTAAAGATCATGTCTGCTTGGGATCAAATACGAAAAAATATATTCATCTTTTACTAAAACAATAGATCATTTTCGCATAGTTGGAATTTAATCAATCAAAATTTTTATCCATTTTGAAAACAGAAATTACAACTAGAAAATAGACGGTCTAACGTAAACTGTAGAGCTTTTCACGCTGCATCTTTTGGTAACAAACAATTGATTTATTCAAATGGATAATAGAAGAGAAATATCAGAAATACGAAGAGTCTAATTTATTCTGGGACATCTGTTATGTTATAATTTACAAAATGGATGTGGGTGTCTATCGTCTCATAATCCATCCTCAAGTATAAGTGCTGCATAAAAAGCCTTATGAATTTTTAAAGGAATGGAATAGATCATAAATAGAAGAAGAAAACTTGTTATTCATAAAATCTATTATTGAATAGAAAGAATCTTTTTATTGAGTTTGATTATTATTTTAATAATTTCTAAGACGTAGTCTATTGAAATAATTACATCATACAATTAAGTACATATATAGATAACAGAATCTTTTTTTTTCTGAATGAAAACGTCAGAATTTGATTTAATTTTGTAAAATAACTTTCAACTTACAATTGCGATTAAATTATTGTTTAATGCGAAAGAGTTTGAAGGTATTAACTATGGATTCATGATTAGATTTTGTAAATGATCAATAATGAGAAGACATGTCGTCATATTCACTTTTTTTAGCATGTAACTTACTTCAATATTTCAAGAAAAAATATTTATGTTATTCATCTATGTATGTAATTTGATATATAAAAATATAAAATACAGATGACTTTGATCACTCTCAATTCTGTTCCAAGAAACAGAAGATAAAGTTTATCAATTATAATAAATATATTAGTAATTACTTTTGAATTTCACTGTTTATGTTAAATCAAATAAAAGTAGAAATAATGTATTAGATGAATTTATTTTAATCATTTAGATTATAAAAGAATATAGTTAACTCGATGAACTCTACTGATTGTATAAACTTTATTAGAATCGCATGAATAAGCGCTGAAACTACAATTCAGTCAGTTAATTTGATACTTACCCTCATGATTGCGGTGTGAACAGTTAAGTTTGGTATCTTAAATTACTTTAGATGATCTCAAACAAGACTAATCTTCTCTTGATTTCGATTATTTCTTCAAGGTAATATTAATTGAGCTTATCTCCATTTAATATAAAATAAACAAGATTACTTTGTTTTTTTTGTTTACTCCTTCACTATTCAGCAGCCCATTAGCTTTTCAAAACAAAATATTGCAACTGTTCATCAAATGAATAAATTATAATAGAATAAAAATGCATACTATTTATTAATTCAATTGATTTAGATGATCTTTTATAAATGAAGTAAAATAAATAAAAAAAACTTAGCAACCCTCATGATCTACGACGGCAACCTGAAAAAAGCACATTAATGCGAAATAGATAATACTAGAATGTTATTTATTAAATTTTTCATTACCATACAGTCGTAGATCTCCGTTTTTTCTCATAAACGACCGTTGACTATTGTTGATATTCGATCTCGGAGTATAGAAGTAGAGAACAACATTCAGTCCCTCCATTAAATATAAATATCTAGAATGTTCTTTGTTATCAAGATTAGTTGCTTTTTCGCATACATTCAATTTAGTTGATCTATCTCGGTATCTTATAGTGTCCTCTCCGAAACATCTAAGTGTGATGATCATTAAAAAAATGAGAAATCATTGTAAGATATTTCTTCAAACAATTTCTCTCTTACTCTGAATTCGAGATCAGAAGACTTTAGTTAACTTTTCTACATTATAAAATAAATTATAATTTATCATATCTTAAATGTATCTAGGTTGAACAATACATCATAAATAAGTGATTCTTCTTTTCAGTTAGTTCTAATTAATGATAAATACTAATTGCTTGAATCAATTAGACTATCTGTTGATGATATGTCGGTATATATATTGCAGTTTTTCACTTTTTCTTCATCCTACGAGGCCTTGTTCAACGCTATCACAATTTAATTCCATATAAGTTATGCTTCTTATAGTATACAGGGAACACTCGTAAAGAATTAAAAATGTAAATATATCTGAGAAGGTCATTTATACATATACATATATGTACATGTATTAGCTTATCAGTCGGCTTTGCCCATTACGTTTTTATTATTTACAGAGTTGTACCCTGTACGCGCGCGCGAACAACTACAAACTAGAATTAATTCAAAAATAATTGAACAAAACCTTCTTTTATTTATTGATTACTTATTCTTTATAAATTCTTTTTTACAAATTCAATATGCTCTTTCATACGTTTTATGTTAGGATGAGTTGGAGGTAATGCTTGTTGCCATATGTTCAGAGCACGTTCATAATATGATAGTGCTTTCGAATAATCTTTCATATTGTAATACACGGTACCGATGTTGAGGTATGAACCAGCCAAATCAGGATGATTTGAAGGAAGAGTTTTTTGGAAGATTTCAAGTGCTTTTTGGTAATATGAAAGTGCTTTCGAGTACTCTTCCATGTTGTCATACACACTACCGATGTTGTTGTATGAAATAGCTAACAAAGGATGATTTGAAGGAAGAGTTTTTTGTTGAATTTCAAGTGCTTTTTCATAATATGAAAGTGCTTTCGAGTACTCTCCCATGTTCTTATACACACTACCGATGTTGTTGTATGAAGTAGCCAAATAAGGATGATTTGCAGGAAGAGTTTTTTGATAGATTTCAAGTGCTTGTTTGTAATACCAAAAAGCTTTTTCATAATCACCTTGATTCGAATGAACAAACCCCAGCTGATTATAATAAATCGCTTTTTTACCCTCCTCAGATGTCTGTTCGAGCAGTACATTATAAAGTTCTTCAGCTTTATTAAATTGACCAATTGTTAGCAATAATTTACCTAATCTCTTCCATCCAGTACCATCTACTTCTTCTCGTATCCGATCAGTAAGTAATCGTAGTTGTTGATCATTATCCGATGTTAATTCTAATTCAACTTGATAAAGTTGATTCTTTGTGTCCATTTGTTTAATTGCTCTCACCCGAAACACGGTGTGCATTGAGAAGAGAATTTCTTCTTCTTCCTTAAAATAACTCTCCTTTTTGATGGAGGCAAATGGTGTTGATTTCAAACAAGGATCAATGGACATCACAAAGAAAATGCCAACCATGTCCGGTTTTTTGGAAGCATCTTCAGAAAATTCGAGAGATATTTTCTTATCTTTACTGGTAGACAAGAAATTGTTAAATGACAGAAGTCCATCTTTTGCTTTGTGAAGTTTTTCAAAGTCTGATTTCATAAGACCTTGTCCTCGATAAATTTCAAAAGTTTTTCTTCGATAACTACTGACCTGTTGTTCATGCAGCTGTTTAATTTGTCTATGAACATCACGTAAGAAGAAGCCCATATTAATGATGATATCGACATTCATCATTCGAAGTGCTTGATTGAGCATTTTGTAGGTAAAACACTCACGTGTATACCACCATATGGCGTTTTGTGGATCATAGTCATGTTCAAATTTATCAATCACTTGCAATTCATATGAGTTGCCAGCAAAAGCTTCACGACAACAAACTGCTAAGTCTTTGATTGCCTTATCATCGTATTCGATATCAAGGAGAATTTCCTTGAACAGCTGTGTATACATAAAAGTTGGCTCCAACTGATTCAAATTCTCAAGTGAAGCCATGTCATTTACCGTAAGAAAACTTACAGCTATTGTGTCCTGGTCACATTGTTTAACAGCCAATTGCAATGCTTGACATATTTCTTTGATATTTGTATGGACACCTTTAATTTTTGTCCAGTTTTGAGTCCATCCCTCATGTTTGGATTTGTCGCCACAGAAGATGTAAATGATATCTAATTGGGGCATGTCATGAATTTCAGGAACCAGATGTTGGCCTAATGAACCTGATGTTATGACAAAAGCTCGTTCCTTGTCCACCTGGTTGAGTGCTTGGATGCACTGATTCGGTTCCGTGCATAGATTGACATCGTTGACCACGTTCTTCAATTGAGCCAGTGTATTCTGGCAGTCTTTGGCTGCTTGGTCGATGCTGGCATCTACCCAGATGAGAAGGTAGTTTTGTGCGATACGTTGTCGTGATTGGCAAATATCTGATAATGCTGTTGATTTTGATGTTGTTGTAACATTTTCTTTCGATTTTTGTGCACCCATGTTGCGTTGAAATATAAACTAGTTCTTTATCTGGAATGAAACTGATAATATTTAATTTGATGGAAAGCTAAAACTGGTGTCGTCTATTTATATAGGCAGTGACTTGTTTTTACTCGATTTTTGGACGATTTCGAATGTTTGTGAGTTTTTGTTGTCGCTCAAGGACAAACTCCATTTAGTTACGTTTGAAAATAATATTGTGCAGAGCAAAAAACAGATTAAAACAAACAAAGGACACCGCGGGATAAGATAGCAAATCTGCCACCCCCCTGG